TTTCTAGTCGGTACTTTTTTTTTAATAAATTGTTAAAGTTGCGTTCCGAGCCCATCACGAAGATTTTCCGAACTTGAACGAAGGGGTCGTTTCATGACTTTGGTCGTTGGAGAGCCCGGTTTTTGGTGCAGGTGCTTTGGGGTGGTACCGGATGGATCAAAAAATGTAAAAACAAATCATTTTCTTCTATTTTTAGTCCATTCGAAACCACCCCAAAGCACCTGCATAGAAATCAGCGCTCTCCCATGATGAAAAGCATGAAACAACCACTTCGGTTAAGTTCGGAAAATCTTCGTGATGAGCTCGGAACGCAACTTTAACAATTAATTTAAAAAAAAGTACTGGCTAAAAATCAATTTTATTTAATTAAAGGTCATTTTTAGATCATAATCTTTAATTAAAAAAATTATCATGGTGGGTTGCCATTAAAAAAAAAATTTTTTTTCTAAAACCCGAAAACTAAAAGAAATTTCGAAAAATGTTATTCTTGATAAATCGTCACATTTTAATTGGACTCTACGCTACACTAATTATTTTTTTTGTAAAGTGGTTAGTTTACGAGAAAAACGCTTCGTTCCATACTTTTTATTCACCTGGTATATATGATTTGTATTAATAAGTGTGATTTAAAAAGAATTCTAATGTTTTTATTTAAAAAACTTTAGGTCATAAGGTTTTTATATTAAAATTTAAATATAAAAAATTGAAGCTTTTGGTGGCAAGTTTGGGGGGGGCTCTGCCCCCCTAAGCCCCTCCCCTGGATCCGCCCTTGGTGGAGTTTGTGAGGAGTTTGGTTTAATAAGTTTGTAGAGGGCAATCGCCGGCTGAAGCCGACTTGAATCTGCTTGAAACGGCAAGGAGATGCGAATTGTATGGCATTAAAATGCACCCAGCCAAAGACCATGAAAATGTCCCATTGAACTTGGCCGTGGCTCATATGGGGATCATCGTCTTTCAGAATTACACAAAAATCAACACGTTTTCGTGGGCGAAAATCCGGAAAATCTCCTTTAAACGAAAGCGATTCCTCATTAAGCTCCATCCGGAAGGATATGTGAGTTATTTTACCACTTTTCGTTGAATTTTTAAAACAACGAGTTTCAGGGATATTATAAGGACACAGTGGAGTTTTTTTTCGAAGGTCGGAACGAATGTAAGAATTTTTGGAAAAAGTGTGTGGAGAATCACGGCTTTTTCCGGTGTTCGTCGGTGAAGAATGTGTCGAGACATAAAACTCGGGTTCTTTCGAGAGGAAGTTCGTTTAGGTTGGGTTTGGAGTAGGTTGAGTGAGGTGTGTGGTTAATTTGGAGTGTTTTAGGTATAGCGGTAAGACTCAAAAACAGATCGTCGAATTCGTTAGGGATAACTATGTGAAAAGGCAAACATTCCAAAGGTAAGGGCATGTAATTGATGATGAATTTTGGAACAGAGTAGTTATGGCCGAGGCTAATAAGTAAATCATGGCTTGAGATTGAATTGCAGACGAGGGCAGAGCCCAACGACGCGGATTGTCAATTTTCGTGGATTCGCAGTTTGGGAAATTTAGAGAAAAAAACATTTTAAGCAAATTTATTATCAAAAGAAAAGTGGACTATTTTAATTTTACGATTTGTGTTTTACCAGAACAAGTTTCTAGTTTATTCGTAATTTGTGTACAGGGTGTAACGAAAAAATGAGAACAAAGAGTAACCTGAGGTTCCTCAGGTCAAAATAAAACCATTTAACCCAACTTACCTCTATGCCAAGTTGCATCAAGTTTAAAAACTATTTTCGTTTTTCTTTAATAACTTTTTAATGGAGTATTCGATTTTTGTGGAATGTGGTACAGACAATTTGCTGTCAAAACCACGTGTTTTCGTGCTATTTCTTTTGTTTTATTATTATCGTAATGAACTTATCGTTTTTTTTTTGTTACATATTGAAACAGGAAAAAAAAATACAAAAGTTGGTACATTTGATAACCCAAACGAATTCAAAGATTAAATGGCGAAATTTATTAACTATTTAACTATTTTCGCTGCAGTTTCTTGCCACTTTCAGCAACAAAATCCATAGTTCCACAACAAATTACAAGTTTCTCACAAAAAAGAGATGTTTTGCGTTGCTTCGATACAACATATCGTTTTTGAGCAAAATCAATTTAGAAATTATGTTACAGACAATATACTGAATTCAAATTTAAAATTACATATTTTTTTTACCCTATACCCACAGTTTAGAGTCCCTGATTAAAAATTTCGATTTTCGATTTTTGAATTCGCTTAGATGTACCAAATATTGTAATTTTACCTACAGGTGTTGTAAATAGACCAAAAACAGAAAATGCCAAGTAAAATAATATACCAGGAATATGAAAAAAATGTTAAACAAATTTTATCTATAAAAATTTCGAAGTTATGAGAGTTTAAATTTTGCACTTTGACTCTATTTGTTTCTGTTCGAAAAATTATTTTCCATGTTTTTTTTGCTACAGGCTATTAGAAAAGGAAACAAAGAAGTGTATCCTGAATAATTGTAACTATGTTTCTTCAATGATTTGACAGCAATTTTAGCTTTTTAAAAAATTAAAATTAAAAAAATTAAACAAAAACATGAAAAACAAGTCCCGATAAAGAGTTTTTAGTTGGCAAAACGTGGTGTTTACTAAAGTATTTTTACCCACAAACGTCACAAAAGAGCATTCAACATTTTGCACTACTAACTGCACCAATTAAATTAATGAAAACTTTTAAAAATCTCAAGAGAAATTACGATACTTGGGCGTTATGACTTCATTACTTGCAAAGCGTTCTGATTGTTTAGTTCAAACTAAATGATCATTTACTTGCTAATTATAGAGTTGCTCTTTACTTACTCCTAATAACATTTTTATATTTCACGACTTATACCAGGTGTAAGAAAACACAATACGTTTTTGACCAACTAATTTACTTAGTATTTTTTTTTACAAAATTTTAATGTGTACATTCATGAGTTTGATGCATTTTTACAGTCTAATAAATAAGAAAAAAATATTCTGATCAGTATATTTTATTTTAGAAAAATCAAGAAAATCTATTACTAATTGCTGTAAAAAGATAACAGAATTGTGAATATTTTGAATTTAAATTTAAACCTCGCTTTCAACGTTATTTGTAGTTTTTATTGACAAAGTTTTTAACCCTTACTGAATAATTATGAAAAAACATATACAAGATCATCAGTATCATAAAAACATGTCAAGAATATAAATGTGAAAATTTTTTGCCAGAAATTTTTAAACATTTTTTAATGTTCTTAGTATCTTATCTTAATTGTCATTTTTCTTTTTTTCTCTGTATATTGATTTCTAAAATATCGGGAAAAACCCATTAAAAACTTTTTCAGGGGGTGTAACTTCCTTATGTAGTATTTTTGAACACATGTTCATCGGAAAATTCACTTGTTTAAATTTGTAACATTAAAAGTGGACCCTCTGTATTAACACATTGTAAGCCATATTTTTGTTATACGTAATTCGAGTGTCGTAATTCTTTTTTGTTCGAAAGGTCCATTATTTTTTAACTTTTAAAAATTTTGTATCGGCTTTGGTTTTGGAGTAAAAATAATTAAAGTAGACGTTGGCCACTTATTATTTTTATGATTGTATTAAAAAAATAGGTTTTAGTTTCTTTAATAATGTAATTATTAATTAAAAAAAAAAAACTTGAACGGTGCAACTTGGTATATACAGGATTATTCATAAATATGAAGCAATATTTGAACCTTAAAAATGACCTATAAAATAATGTTAATTTAAATAATAACTCGTGTCCTATCTCTAGTGATAAGAATTTTACAGCCCTCAGAATGTGGGTATGGAAATTTGATTTTTTTGTAATAACTTTGGAACTATTTGACCAAATATTATAAATTTTGGAACATTTCCTTGTGACAACATACCTTTTGAACTGGTAATCACGAAAACCGGATACATCCACTCAATTTCCGGTTCCAGTAGTTGCAGGTCACATTTTTTGTGTTTTTCCATTTTTTTGCTCTCTTAACACCAATTTTTTATTGCCCAAATAGATAGAGTAATCAATTTCGAATAAAAAACGCATAACCTTTAATACCCCTAAAATACTCTTTGTCCTTATATTTTCGTTACATCCCGTAGATTGAAAGTTTGTGTCGTTGGTTCGTCTGTGCGTTTGGTATGGTAGTATTGTTTTTGCTTTGGTTTAAGGATACGAAAGTAGCGTCTTTTGTGGCGTGTGGAGCATGGTTGTTGTAGCTTTTGGTGAAAAATGCTGTATCCGACCGTATCAGTCAGTGGAAGGAGGATGGGGATTGATAAATGAACCGTTAGATAAAAAAAAAAATCAAAATTGTCGTGCATGGTTAGTACGAATAATCGTATAATCGTCTCGTCTTCTTAACCAATTAGCTAACGGCTGTGCTCCAAAGACTTACACTCGGCTTAACTTAGTTATAGAGCGACTAATAACTGTTCGATGTGTAGTTCGGTTATAACTCATTCCTCATTCTCTTTAGGTCGGCTTCATTCCGGCATTCTAGCGCTCATTCGAGTGCAAGCAACATGCACTCCAGTACAGTCGGGAACAGCATATCGGCTCACCCCTTGTTGCCCCTTGCCGACAGCACTCTCAGTGGTAGGACTCGCATTTCAACTCAACAATTTTTACGTGTGTTTTTTTTTTTTGTAAATCTAGTGGAAGCGTCCAAACTGTCGGCTTCCCTGTCCTCGATGGCCGATGCTCGAACCATCACGGCTTCTCCGACGACGAGGTCAGCCTCTCGCCACCCCGTCACAGCTACATCCTGGAGCTCGGCGCCCGACACTCGGCCTATCCATGTTCAGACGACGACCTCGCCATCACCTCCTCTGACGACGCAATCGGCCTCGCCGCCAACTTCTGCGACTACGAGTCCACTCCATACCGACCATCCGAAGGGGGGCTTTGCCAGTTCGCCGGTCGCCGTCCGCGCAGCTGTTCACAGGGCAGATACAGGTACCATTCACACCACTGCTGTCCGGATGCCCTCTAGTCACAAATCCGACGGCTGTTTAGACCAATCGCCGCCATTTACTAACCATTACCCCACACAAACACAATCCCAAAACGATCTAGGTTTAAGACCGAATCAAGCACAAACGCAAACCAGTCCCGAATACGCCTACAAATCTATCACATCGTTGCCGAAACGACAATTGTGGCAACGTAGCGCTAGTTGTAGAGATTTATACGATTTTAGTTTCGAGGATTCGGGACAAGCCAAACGGAGAATGGTTAAACCGCCAAAACCGGCGGAAAAAACCGATAACCGAACCTTAGACTCGCCTATAACGCGATACGACGACCATCACGCCATCTATAGTACTAGTTCGCGGGATAGTAGCCTCGAAATACATCAAGATATCATGATGCCCGACCAAAAAGTCTACTCGAGTAGTTACCCCGGAACCACCACTTACTCCCAAGAATCTATGGAAGATCCCGGAAATTACGACTTGAGAGACTCACAAGACGACCTCTCGCACGACAGTTACGAACTCATCGAGAAATCCGACGACGATTATAGCACCTCCGGGGACTACAAATACAAAAAGGGCAAAACGTTAAACACCCGGAGTTGTAGTCTCGACTCCGGGAATTATCTCCCGTCAGATACCGATTCCGAAATCGAAAAACGCCACAAATGCAAAAGTGTTTCAGACGTCCAACAGGACATTTTCACAATGGACGATCCTCGGGATTTGCCACGTGAAATAATCCCGCGTAAATCCGACGGTAGTTTTTACAAACAGTTCAAAGTTAGTTCACGCACATCCAGTCAGGAATCAAAAAGTGACTATTACGAGTCTAAAACAAAGTCGAGTCGTGAAAGTTTGAAAAAAACTCGTAGTTGTGGTTCACGTGCGTCAAGTCTCGAATCGAAAAGTGAATATTACGATACCACGTCGAAAATCGACAATAATTATCATCACGATTTTGACCGAAAAATCACTTTCGAGAGGAATTACGGGACACAAAAGAAAATCACTAGTCCTCAAAAAGAAACCTCACACGTGCACTCAATCAGTTTGCAAAACGTCGAAACCGAGCAAAATATCCGAGTTAATAGACTCTTGGAGCAGAATACTGTTCCTCGGACGCATAAAACGACTCATATTTGGCCTGAAACCATCGCTGGGGTCCCGACAGAAATCCGAACTTGGTCGAAACCCAATACTCAAAGATCGACCGAATCCGAGAGCAATATTTTCAGTTTCGACGAGGATAAAATCCAATCGTTGCAGGATAGTAGTGATGCGGATGTGTGTGATCATGGTTTTAGTGTCGTTCCGAATATTGATAAGAAGAAAGAAACGAAACGCAAAATACCGAAGGAGGTTTTCATGGAGTTTGAGCCTCGACGAATGCGTGAACCTCTACCTCTGCATCAGCCCATCGAACGGACGAAATCCGATCCGAATTCCCTTTCGAGACAACGTTTTAATTCGAGTTCGAGACGGTTGTTGTTGATGCATCAGAAATCGATTGATTTGACACCGGCCGAATCGAGCGATGATGACTATTTGTATAAGCAAATACCGAGCGCTCCTCCTGTTATGAAATACAGAGGTACTCATTTCGAAATGCCCACGGCCGAGTTTGGCCATTTCGATATCCTCAAACGAGAGATTGAGGGTCAAAAAACGAAATTTGAAGTTCCTAAAAGTCAATTCGAAGTTTTGGGTGCTAAAACACAATCGGATTTTATCAATCTTCCACCGAAAAGTGACGACATTCCTTATGTTTTGCACAAGAGACATGTCATGAACGGTACTGCCACTAAAGACGAACAAGTGGAGGAACCACAAGAACCGATAAAGGAAAAAGAAAAGAAAATTAAACCAGTCGAAGCAGAACCTTTTCTTTTTACTCAAAACATTGACTTGTCTAAAGTCGATCCAATCACTTTAGAAGTTGACAAAACCGAAATGCCTGTTCAACACTTGTCTAGTCCCAAAAGAGACATTACACATATCGATCCAGTGCTCTTAGAGGCTCTCAGTTCGAAATTGAGCCAAATCGAGAGTGATTCACCCACAAGCTCGAAAACCGAAAGTCTCAAACCTCAAAAACTGCTCAAAGAAAAACCGATAACTAAAGTTGAACCGCCGAAACCCGAACCAGAGAAAAAAGAACCGGAAAAGCCACCAAAAATCATCAAAACGGAAACGAAACCGAAACGAGTAATTAAACCTCGAATGCAACCCGGTAAAAAGGGAAAAAGTAACAAGACAAAAGTTCGAATAACTTCGTTCAGTTCCGATGACGAATCGTTGGATTCCGATGATGTTTTTGGGAGTGCTGAAGCGACTCCAACTCGAATTGAATTCTCACCGCCTCAAATGCGAAAAGAAATGGAATCGATATTGAAATTCGAGTCGGAAAGAAAATATTTGCAGTATACAATGTCGTCGACGGAAGTTGAAGGTTCACCACCTCAAACACGCAAAAAGACCGAAAAAACATACGACAATGGACTAGATCCGAATGTTCAACCGGAATTGAGGAGGATCTCCGAACGCTCATTTTCCATACCAAGCTCTGAAGATGATCTCAATATTAAAACAGCCGACTTGCAGCCAGTTTTCGCCGAACCAGTGCAAGAAATTGAAAAAGAAGAAATAGAGGAAGAATTAGACAAAACTGAAGTTAATTTAGACGAAGAAAGGGAAAAGGAAAAGTTGCTACTTCAAGCCGAGATTGAAAATGATATAAAGAATCTCAAGGTGCCTCCGAAAACGAAAATAACCGAAATTACATCACCTTCATTGAGGAAAAAGGGCCAAAGCCCACTACTGTTTGCACACGCGAGGTTGAATCTATCCGAAGGTTCGGCGTTTACTCTTCTTCAGAAACAACAAGCAACGGAATCACCTCTTTCAGGTCGTAGAGCAAAAAGTTTAGACGCTCCTGTCATACCTGTTAGTAGATTACCACCACTTAATGCCTTTTCAAGCAAAGATGATACAGTCGAAGAAGAGCAAACTCATACAGATGTTAATGAAAGTGAAGTCGAAGAAATAATTGTCGAACCGATAAAACCACCACAAGAACCTGAACCTAAGGTTATAACCGAAAAACGACCGATTAAACCAATACCCAAAGAAAGAGATCAGATAGTACCAGATGTGACCAAAGCGAAAAAAGCACCAAAACCAACACCATCATCGAAAACACCCCAGAAAACAAGCAAAGGAAAACCAATACCGGCGCAAAGAACTACCTCCTTGAAGGAAAGCACGAAAAGTCCGAAAGAAAAAGCACCGAAAACAGCAACGAAACCACCTAAACCGGCACCAAAAACCGCTGTTGTTAGTAAAAGTGGACCCAAAGTGATCAGTTCAAAAGTAACACTAGAGGAAGCTCCTGAAAAACCCGTTCCATCGGAAGTAAAAAGAACGAAAAGTCAAGAAGGTGAGTCTAAGAAAGTTTTACCCAAAGAAAAAGCCAAGTCTTTGGAAAAGCTCGAACTGAAGAGAGTTTCAAGTAAAGAACGGACGAAATCGCAAGATGAAAGCGAAGAAGACATAGCGAAACGAAAAGAAAAGCAACAAATGTTATATGAGACTGCGATCAAACAGACGAAGACTTTGAAAAGTCCCGTCAAAGACACACTTCCTGTGTTTCCTCAAGTCGAGGAAATGGTTCGAGAACGACACGGGAAATTGGAAATTAGTATAAATACGATCGAGAATAACAAAGTTTCCCTAGAAGAAGCAATAATCATAACAAAGTCGCCCAAAAAACTCGACAAGAAATTAACTAAAAGTCTTGAGTTGAATCTCACAAACGATGAGGAGAATTCTGATGAGAAACCGATGCAAAGGTTGGGAAAAAGTCTCGATTTGGACAATCGCCCCAAAATGGAAGAGAAAAGAATATTTGATTTTCAAACCGATTCGGTCAAAATGGAGGAAACTTCTCCCGAATGCGGATTAGTCCAAGAAATCGTCAAGGCTGAAGTCCACAAAGAAAGTAGCGACGTTGACGAACCCCACGAAAATATCATTCTCGAAGGGACAAGCCTCGACGTTTGGTTATCAGTCGACGGAGAAAAAACTCTCGAAAACATCAAACTTATACAAAAATCGGACGATTTTTTTGAACAACGAGCGTCAACCAAACCACCCGATTTGGGTAAAATGGACGCGAAAAGTTCGTCCGATTCGCAAAGCATCGAAAAGACGAGTTTAGGAAATTCTCTGGATATTAAATATATCGATGATTCGGGCGATTCGAGTCACAAGTCGGAACAGGACGCTCAATTGATTGCAGAAATGCAGAAAGCTTCAGAAACTGTGTCGAAATTCTTGCGGAAGAAATTCGAAAAGAAGAGACTTGCAGCTCAGAAGGAAATACCGGAAAATATCGTCCGGATAACCAGTGAAGACGAGTCATTGACCGAAGTTAGTGATTTGAAATGTGAGCCTCAAGAAGTCGATTCGAATCTTTTAGCTGTTGAAGATGGTCATAAAGACGCTTTACTCAAGCTTAGTATTGAAAGGAGTAGGTCTGAGGATACTGGATCGTGGATGACTGTCGAATGTGATGAGTTCTATGGTGCTGAGGAGTCTTTTGATTACGACCAAGCACCGTTGGAGACACCGGAAAAAGTTTGTGTTGAAGGGGGGGAACAAGAAGTTAAGTCACCTAGTGAACCTAATCTTCTTACTGCCGTTTTAAAACACAGTAAATTAGATATGTTGAAACGAAGTTCAGACCAGTCGAGGTCTAGTGATACGACAGGTTCTTGGACTAGTGGCGAAAAAGACCCAAGTCCAAGTAATATAAAAGAGACTGATGATTCTAGTGTTAGTTGTGCGATAGGTCGCTCGGTTGGTTTCAGTCAAATAATCGAAAAATTTGCAAGTAAGGAACAATTAGATAAAGATTCACCGGAAAGTGAGCCTCCGAAAAGTCCTCGAAGCCCTCGAAGTCCCCGAATTTGTGTCCTCGGACGTGCCTTTACAATCGACGAAGAATCACCACATAAATACGAAGAATCAAGCTCTGATGAAGCACATGATATACCCAAAGACCTAACACCGGTCCAAGAAGAAACCAATGGAGTTAAATACAAGAAAACTCCTTATCCTTTTGAGGAAAAGTGGTCCACTGATTCCGAATTGAGTCAACGTCTCCATCAAAAAATCACAAAAAAGTTATCGGGAGATAAGAGTAGTATGTCATCGGTTGATGAACCGAAAAATCTCCACTCTTTTGATAGACTTTCAGTGGAGTCCCGAAACTCGGTCGATACCGAATCGAGTTCGGGTAGTCTCGGTGCTGCGGCTCGTATGCAAAAATCCAACGATATACCAAAAGAATTGAGTTCGACTTGGCGACCATTTCCTCTTGACAGTTCCGGTTCTGAAAGTTTCGACGATGGTCTCCTCCCTCCCGATCAAGAACCCACGGAAAAACAGGAATATTTCCTCGCTGCTCGTGAAAGTTCGGGTGATTTCGCATCACTAACTGACGTTTGTTATAAATCCGAAGATGTGACACCGACTCGAGACGATACGGAACTACCCGAAGACTTGGTAAACTTTCAGGCGAATTTCGGTTATCCTTGTTTGACTTCTGGTACTTTATCTATCGCTCTCAGTTCTGGGGGTGGTTTTTTATCGCGAACTTTGTCACGAATATCCGAACGTAGTACCAATTCGGAGAAATCTAGTCTGGAAGAGGATTCAACCAAAGGTAGTACTCAGAGTGATAGTTTGAATGACGAATCAATGGCGTCGAGTAATCCACAAGTGAGTTTGAGTTCGGATCCGCCAAGTCACGCCCATTTCAGCGAAGAGAAGAAAACGCCGACCAATGAGAAAGTACCAAGTCCGAAGGAAATACCCAGTTTTGAGCATACACCAATCAGTAGTTTGTTGCAACGACAGATTTCCGATGATAGACGAACGTCAGCGGAAATGGCCGAATTGTCAATGGACGATATTGAAATTCTAACGTCGGAACGTGGATTGAAATTGAGGAGGCAAGGCTCCGATGATACGATTATAGATGAGGAATGTTTTGAACCAATGGACACCAAGGATAAAAATCAGTCAAGTAGTCAAGAGAGTGAGGAATGGCCTTTACCAGATATACCCCAACAAGACAAGAGTACATTATTAGCAATGCATGAAGTACCAAGTTCTGATACATCACAACAAACCACTCAAGTGTTTCAACCTCCTAGAACAAATATCCCTAAAGTATTCGGTTTGAGGGGATCACTGAAGAGTCAGGATTCGGAGCAATGGCCAAGCCCACCCTCAAGTGTTGTAGAACAACCAATAGTCGGTAATGTAGAAACCTATTATGTGACACCGCCCGAAGAAGCATGTAAAGTAACAATTGACTCAAGTACCGTAAGTACTTACGACAACGATTCCAATTCTGATGAAAAAACATCAGAATTAGACGGTGATAAAACCCACACTTACGAAAATGTCGCAACTGAACATATCAGTGAAAGTATTTCTGAAAGTCTCAGTGTTGGTGCTAGTGGTATTAAGATCGTACTCGATACGAAATCGCAAGATTCCAATTCTGATGAAGATTTAAACATTTCGAATTTAAATGATGATGTTTTTACTGATACTATTGACACTTCTAAGAATGAATTAAGACCGCCCACTGTAATGAGACGAAGTACTACTTCAGATGATTCGTCTCATTCTCACTCGGGTGGTACCAAAAACGGGTTAAAACCACAACAGAAGGGTTCCCAAGGTTCGTATTCCGAGGAGGAGTGTACGAGTTCTATGGGTACTACTTTAGAGGATGGTACCGTTCGTTATGCTTTTAAACCGGCGAAATGTACCCATAGTTCACACTCTGAAGACACATCGATTGCTTTAAGTCTTTCAGAATGGTCCAACAGTACCAATACTGTCAAATTTCAAAACTTGTCGAGTAATAGTGGTACCAAAAGTAGTTCCGGTTTAAAAAGTGACGATAATTCCTTAACAGATATTGCTCAATCAATTTCAGAGTGGTCGAGTAGTAATAGTAAGCAACAACAAAGTACCAGTTTGCAGTTTCAAAAATTATCATCGACTTCGACCGGTGATAGTACTTTAACTGATTTGATTCCAACGATTTCGGAATGGTCAAGTTCGGACACTTCAAAAACATTGGTACCTCAACAGTTTTACCAAACGACTCAAAGTGTGACCAGATTAGGGTCAAGTGTCGACGATGGTGACCACAAAGGTCTCCCAAGTCCCAAAAATATCCCATCTGAGGATTTAGCCCAACTGACTTGTGGTTTAAGTCCTCGAGAAAATAAATATTTCAAATCAACAGAACGACCTGTGGTTATCCCAATACAAACTCACTCCGATACGGAAAAATCGAGTAGTTCAATTGAACAAAAAACCGTTCACACTCAACGCTACGACAAGGAGAAACAGAAATACATGCAGAAACATCAACCGTCGAAAAGTACCGAACGACCAGTCAAAGTACCACTCAAACTATCCAAATGTTCGCCTTACTATTCGAGCAGTTTGAGTTCGGAGTCGACTCCTTTAGCGAGTACCAGTCCTATTCCCATGAGTAAAACTGCGACGGTACCACTGACTCGCGGGCATAGAAAACCCGTTTCGAAGAGTCTCTTCCAGGCTAAAAGTCCCCCAAGTGAGAACGACTCGACGAGTTCGGTGGAATCCCCCAAAAGTAAATCGGATCGTGACCGTCGCGGTTACAGACGTCGCAAATCGCAGACTCAAAGACGCCAAAAACTCGAAAAGGAACACCATAGTGTCGATGAGTACTACTATGAGGATTACGGGTACCAAGCGATGGGGGCGGAAAGCCCCCTTTTGCACTACTCGGAGAATTTAGAAGAGGGGTATTTGCCCGATGGCGATTCACAATCGGGTTCTGATATTTTTCGGATGGAGAAGGACGACGATGGGTACGACCTCGCGGAAGGTTTCGACGTCTCCTCGATTCCTCCACCTCTCCTCGAAGATGATTTCGAAGAGGAACATTCGCCGCAAATTTGATTTTAATGTGATTGAGTTTTGGTCGGGGTATCGTTTCGTTCTAATGGCATTGGTTGTTATAATTCTAGTGTTGTTTTTCGAACTTGTCATTTTGAATTTTTTGATTTTTGTTGATTTTTTTCCTTTGTGCTATTGAAGGTGCCCCGACGAGTGGTCTTATAATCAAATATTTGGGTTTCTGGCTGTGCCGAATTGACTTTGCTCATGCGAGTAGGATAGGGTTTAAAATTTTGAAACGAAGGTGCCAAAATACGACGCCAAATTTTGGCTATTGGAACTGGTTTTGCGTTTGTCGAATACGCACAATTGTACCAATGGTCATTTAATCACACATGCAAGTCACCGAAGACTGAAAATAATTTGTATATATACATTGTGACGTACAGAAAATCAAACATTTAACACTATATACTTCATTCGGGTGTTTGTCATTTTTGCCAATTCTACGATGTTACCCCTTTTTATTTACTCACCAAAATGTGATCTATGTGATAGTTGCCTTTTGCTTTTTATCCCAAAAGGCAATTCCAACGTTATTCGCCAATTTTTTGCAGTTTTGTGCATCGTTTTTTGTAGTGTTTCATTTTAATCATTTAAGCCAATGAAAAGTGCCAAAGCGGGATTTTTCGAAAAACACTCCATCTTTGAATAATTAGCGAAATTTATCTTTAACAGAATCTATTAGAAACTCAAAAAATGTACCGGGTGACTATAAATGATTGTTTTTTTACCTCAAATGTCAAACTTTTATTCATTTGTAACGGGTGATTGCCGGTTTAGCCGTCACCTGAAACATTCTGAAACAACAAATTAATTAATTTTTTTAATTCAATTTTTTGTTACAAACATTAATAGTCACCGCTTAAGTGGTAATGCAAAATTTCCCTAAATAAACCAAAATAAGAGAGAACACTACATGAGAAGATGCATAACTCCTTGTCCTAGTATAAAATCCACTTTTAGACATAATTCTAGCTTTGCTAAAGTAAGCTTGAAACGGTGAACAAATCGGGCTTTTAGCCATTTATTTCAGCTTATTGTTGTCTAATTATGTCGAAGAGTGTTTATATTATTGTAAATATTGTGACCCATTTGTTGAATAATTAAATCTTTTAAAATGCGGTAAATATTTTATGATGGTTTCACAGACGAATTGCTGAGTCGACGGTCTAATGATTTAAATTATTCCAATTTTGTGTTCCCGATCGAGTACAAGAGGGATTTTTGTAAATATTGTTTTTTGATTTCGTTACGAATAGGCCTAACTACGCATTTGTAATAATTCGAAAGGTGTTGTAGTCAATAATACGATTTTTCTCCATTTTACGTTTTTGTGATATTTATAATTATGATAGACGAGTAGAATTAGGGTTAGTTGGAGACAAATGTTAATGTTTGTTTTGTTGAAATATTTGTTGATTATTATGATGCTCAAAGCATGTAAAACCATGAATTTAATTACGTAGAGAAGGAAATCCATGCTGTGTACAATCATCATTTATTTCAAATTAAAAACTGTAATCATTTCATTGGAAATAAAACACAATTTGCTTAAATCGCTAACTTTATTGCTTTTAATGCTTTTACTAACAAGGGAATTGAGGTGAGGAGTTGCATGCCGATTAATATAACGTAAATTTTTCCCAAAATAAAATATTTTTTTTCTTAGATGATATCCAAAGAAACAAATCGGATAACGAAGACTCTTATTACATTGACAATTCCTACTACACCAGCTCCCCTCCGAGTTACAAGGAGGTAAACGGGAACATTTCGGAAATGAGTCCGATAAAAAATCTTGCAAAAGAGCAGCTTTTGAACAGTATTAACGCCAATACCAACGGTACCAACACCACAACAATAATCGCCGAAATCGAAGGAGAAGTGAAAAAGAAAACGAAACCAATCGACAAAACCTACTACATCGCCAAAGAAATCCTGATGACTGAACTCACCTACAAGAAAGATCTAGATGTTATCAACGTGGTTGGTACTCTTGTGTGAACTTGTCATGATCTAATTGGGCAATTTCAGTGGTTTAGGGACGAGGTCGGTAAAGAAGAACCCGACGAGTGCTCAATTCTGCTCACTCTAATCGCGCCTTTGGCTCAAGCTCACGGACATTTGGTCAAGGATTTGGAGCAGAGGTTGCAAGGATGGGACGGGAGAGGGGGCCCCAGGGCCACGACCAGTCAGAAAATCGCCGATGTTTTGCTAACACATTTGCCCCCTTTGCTTCCAGTAAGACTCAATTTTCGTCGAGTTTTTGCCAAATTTTGTGTTTTCAGATTTATGAGGAGTATTTGGACGGGCATATTTTAGTCCTAGAGCGTTTAGATGCCGCATTTAAGCAAAACAGTCATTTCGAACAGTTGTATCGTGATTTTGAAACGCAAAAAGTGTGTTATTTACCGCTTACAACCTTCGTATTGAAGCCTCTACATCGTTTGTTGCAATACCAATCATTGTTACAAAGTAGGGAAATTTGAGTTTTGGTAATTTTCTAATGAATTTTTTTAGGACTTTTGCGTTATTACGGCCCCTCGCATCCGGATCGGGCCGATTGTTTGACCGCTAGTGACACTTTAAAAGACTTAATGCAACCAGTTTGCGAGACTTTGGAACATTCGGAGAATTTAGCAACTTTGTGCGAACTTCAACGTGATCTAGTAGGTTTCGATAATTTAATACAACCCGGGCGTAAATTCATCAGACACGGGTGTTTACTCAAACATTCCAAGAAGGGTTACCAACAACGCATGTTCTTTTTGGTAGTACCAACCCCACGAATAAAATCCCAAGACTTGAGACTTTTTTTTCAGTTCTCTGACATTCTTTTGTACACTTCTCGGTCTCAGGCCACTCTCCAGTTCAAAGTTCACGGTCATATGCCACTAAGAGGTGTCCTCATCGAAGAACCGGAAGGTGAATTGGCGACGTATGGATTGGTGATTTATGGTCAGTGGTACCAACCGTTTTTTGGGGAGATTAAATTTGGTTTTTTAGGAGGTAATCGTGCATTGACTGTGGCTGCAAGTTCGCAAGAAGAGAAGGAAAGGTGGAAGCAAGACTTGCAAAATGCCATTCAGGAAGCGAGGGATAAAACTGATACGAAAATAACGTATTTGAGCCTTAAAAGTTGCAGTGAGTAATTTTTGACAAGTTGGCAATTATAATTTTTTTAAAGGCTCTTCAGATGAAATTATGGACCAGTGTGGTAACGACGTTGGCACGCAAACCAAGCCACAGCCCCAAAGGAGTAACCTGAAAGTGCACGTGTGTTGGCATAGAAATACTAGTATTAGTATGAAAGATGAATTAGTAGCAGTTGAAGTATGTTTTAATTTTACTTTATTTTTATTGATCATTTTTTTTACAGAATCAGTTATCGGGGTATTTGTTACGTAAATTTAAAAGTAGCAATGGTTGGCAGAAATTGTGGGTCGTATTGACGTCTTTTTGTTTATTTTTTTATAAAGGATGTATGGATGATTTTCCGTTGGCATCACTGCCTTTGTTAGGCTACACAGTTGGGCCTCCTGCCCCTGAAGACGCCATCGGGAAAGACTACGTTTTCAAGTTGCAATACAAGAATCACGTTTATTTTTTCAGGGCCGAATCTGAATATACTTACAACAGGTACTGAATTATTTTAGTTGTTTTTTTTTTAAATAATTGTTTGGTTTAAGATGGATGGAAGTGATCGGAAGTTCTACTCAGAGCAGAAAGAAAAAACAAATAATTTTGAATGAAAACTCAATTGAATGTTCACCTGAAAAATAATCAGGCTTTTATTTATGTTTCAAGGAACTATTTTTAGGTTTTAATGGTTTTGTTAGTGTAAAACAAAATATGTAAATATGGTTTAGTATTATTGAAATTTAAAGGACTGGATAAGTCATTCCTAGGTAATTGTAGTAATTCCGTACTCATATTTGTATATACTTGTAAATTTTTTATCGATTTTACTCATTTTTACTTATTTTTGACGGCAGTTAAATTAACAAACTCATTTTGTTGTTTTAGGAAGTTTATATTGTACATTTGCATTTTATTAAACATCACTTGTAATTAATTTTCTGCATATTTGTGAAATAAATTATTTTTACAACACTATTCTGTTTATTTTACCTTTGTCCTGTGCAATTAATTGTTATCTTTGACAGAAAAATTAATAAACATTTTGACGTCGATCATTACAAAGTGATTACAAAGTTTTAATTGTTACAATAAACTGGACGAAACTGGAGATAAAGCTCATCAAAATTGAAACCTCATTAGTTTGCAATAACGAATATGTTTAAACTATTTGAAAGCAAACCACATGTTAAAAACAGAAACAAAATCGTTACACTTTCAACGAAACCAAAAATGTTTAGTTCAAAGTATTTACGTATTTGTGGTAAATATTTGCTTAATCCGAAACTTGTTGAATAATTAAGTTTCATAAAAAATGTTAATTTGGTGAAAAATTTTGTAGAACTTTTCTTGTCTGTTTTTCTACGCGGAAACCTCAGCATCCGCCATATCACTTTTCCACTTTTTCGTGGTCAAAGTTTGTCGCGTCGACCCGCAAGCGCGGCTTCAAACAAGACATGTGGGTTGTGAAATTCGCGTCAGTTGTGGATTTCCGCCTCGGCATTTCGACGCATGTCGTCGTTTAAAGACGCGCTTTTTTCGTGAGTGCGAACTAAGAATGCCCCAAAAACGTCAATTCTGACCGCAGGTACGAACGAATTAGTGCCCAAAATAAAGAGCGAATAAATTCCGAGTTTTATTAAAAAAAATAGTGCGTTTATGTGATACAACAATCGGAACATTGATTGTTGTATCTTATCACGATTTTATCTTTGTTAACATATGTTATTTGAGTATAATCGCATAAACAACCCCCCTGCAGCCCCGATATTGATTTTGTTTAGATTTGTGTATTCAAGAAACAATTATTTGTCACTTTATTTTTTCTCGGAGAGAGGTACTTGCTAGGTTTTAATCGGGTTGTGTGTCAAGTAATTAAAAAAGTTTATACAGGGTGGAATAATTAATTGCTTTATACAGCTTTGGTAATATCGTTATAGAAGTTAGAGATGACAGAGTTAATTTGATAAAGTAGTGCTCAAGTAAAGATATGATGTTTCTTCCAATTATTTCTAATTGAACCAACTTGTCAATAAGTTTAAAAAAAAATTGTTTAAAATATTCACGTTTCCGTCTCACTTGATGCTTAATTAAATATTTACCTCGCTGAATACGGAAATTGCTAATTATGTAGATTAGTAGATTATTTCCAGTTTGTAGTTTCAAGTACGTGAACCAATAATCCCGTGAAAAACCGCAGTAATGTTAAATTATTTTTCGTGATTTACCGGTCATTTGCCGATAGTTTATCTCTTTCCCCGTATTTAGGAGTCGAATTGAAGTTAATAATGGCACACGAGCGCTCATAAATCCCGTCATGTCGTATCTATTAAAATGTTTACACCAGTCAATTAGCGCAAATTGAGTTTTAGCAGCCGCCAACAGTTTACATGAAACTTCTTTCCCCCGTTTCATAAAACTTTGCATTTTATTGCGAAAGCGCACAAACTCTTCATCGATAATAACAGAGCTCCAATTTGGAAATTGAGTCGTTTCTTCCGCCGTTTAGATAACAGAGAGGAAGGAGGAGGATTAGTGTCCGTCCCGTTTGTGATGTGTGAGGGCCGAATGGAGGATAACACGAGAGGCGTTCCTTGTGCAGAGGACATGCAGTCGACGTCAAACGAGGGGTGAGTCCAAAGAAAAACTTTATTATTGAGGGAGAGTTTTTTGAGTTAAATTATGGGGTTTGTTGGAGAAGATTGAATTGTGTGAGGAGTTTCAGCAATTTCTAGTGTTTTGGTGGATGCGCCGGGTTAAATATCAAATTATCGGTCGTTAATTAATTTATCGACGCTCTTTGAAGCCCACTATCGAACATTTAAGATCAACAATCCAGCAAAAATCCTCCACTTTCACATGTCTTTCGTTCATTACGTGCTCAAGTAGCCTTTGTGCATCTCCACTTTTACCAAAGTTTGATTTGTGTTTTCGCAAGTTTTTCAGTCACAGACATTGAGTAAACACCGACGTTCTATTGATCTTGCGTAAATATGGAAGTGAACTACAGGTAGGTAGTTAAAGGACTCGGAAGAAATATAGGACAAAGTTGTTAAGGCTATAATTTACTCAACTGCTCCTCTTATTTATGCAAGGTTTAATTTGAATAACAGACAAGGAGGAGGCATACATATTGATATGCACGAGTTGAGTTCTTATACATTTTGAGAGGTTTAAAGTTTTGCATAATCAAGGAAGATCGGCTCACCCACGAGGGAACAACGTACATGTTTCCATGTAATTTACCTACTTCGAAAATTAAAAATAAAAAGTCAATAATAAGATTAAGAAAAGTGATGAAACGATGAAGACACTTAATGAAAAAAGTTTCGTGGGAGTATACAATAAAATTTTAACCACTGCCATAACGAAAACCCTCAAAAATGAAATTTTCTTACAATTGTGTTTTTCTGATTTCATTTGGCGAGCTTTTGTCCCGTCAACTTTAATTTATTTACACTCACAATACAAGTTCAGAGGTGAAACCCTTAAAGCGCCTCGCTTATGTCGTACATCCAGAAATATTCGGTTTTTCCCCAAAACAGTTCCGATTTAATTAAATATTAAACCACACCTACATCGAAATTTTTTCAACTTGCCACGATTTTTTATCGAATGTGACAGTTTGACGGCAATGCAATTTCAAGCAACCCACCTGATGATTCAGGGCCGGATTTGTTTTCCATTGGTTAATTAATTCTGGTGACTTACAAGGTAACAGCTGTGAAGGATATCGATTTTTCTTCGCCCTCTCTTCGGTTATGATCTGGTGATGGATGAGAAGGCACTTTCGGGAATTGTTTACAAGCGTCATAATTTTGTCGCAAAAATTAGAGGAACAAAGAAATTTACTACATTTTTTGGTGGTTTTTGAAAGGCTGTGTTAAAATTGGTCGTGATTAGATTTAAAAAAAGACTATTTTTAAGTTTCAAGTTTCTTGTTCTGAGATTTTTTGAATAGTTTGTTTATTTAGCTTTCTTTGATTTGCTTTTTTTATATTCTATTTCCGTCATTTGTGACTTTTTACAAAAAGAATTTTTTGTCTTTGATCATCGATATCTCAGCAACTAGTGACCGCACAAAGAATGTAAGGGTAGTTGCAAAAACTGGAATAAATCCCCTACAAGACCCTTTTACGAGTTTACGAGAGAGTAGTTCAGAAAAATTTTTTGAGAAAAGTTCTCAAAACTATAAATTTGAAGCTTCAAGACCTAACTACGACTGTTTTTCACTGAGATACAGCTTTTCAAAATCATGAAAAAAAACTATTTTTAAGGTTCAAGTTTCTAGTTCTGAGATTTTTTGGATAGTTTGTTTTTTTAGCTTCAATTTGCTTTTCTTATTGTCTTTTTTCGTCAATTTTTCGCTGACT